TCAGAAGCAGAGGCAGCCCTCACCTGTCTCACTGCTGCTCCTGTCAGCAGTGCATTTCGGTAGATCCACCTGTTCTGCTCCCCAATCTGTCTCTGGTGAATCCTCTCATTGCGCCCACCCCCTGCACCTCTGGACGACACCCCAACTCTTGTATGCATAAATAAATAAATCTTTCTTTCTTTCTTTAAATAAATAAATTTTTTATATATAAAAAAAAGACCTTTCTCAGTTGTAGAAGCTGAGCTTTTGGGCTGCCCTCTCCTTCAGTGGAGAGGAGGGGCAGGAAGGGAGCGTGCAAGTGGTATGCTCAGCCGAGGTCAGGGAGGCGGCACCTGGCAGGCAGGTCAGCAGGTTCAGCTCTATTTGGGGCAGAATAGCCTGGAGGCCTGCAGCGCCCCCAGGGCAGTGGCGTAGAGGGGATATCTTCCACAGACGCCCGGGCCCCGCCTGATGGGCCGGGGCCTCCCACCTTGCAGCACAGCCACTGGATGTGGCTGCAAACCAAGCACACGTGCAACCAGCTCCTGCATCAAGGCGCTCGGGGTGGCCCAAACCCCTTCCCACCTCACCAGCCTCTCGCCCTCCTGGCCCCCAGTCCCAAGTGTAACCTCTCTCCTGGCTTTTATCCTCAAAGCCTCCATGGCAGGTTCTGGAAGCTCACACAACGGTCTCGAAGCGTGCCTGTCACTTGGCATTGCTGGGCGCATTCATATTTCTGCGTGCGGCTGTGTCGGGTCTTCCTTCGGGCCCGGGGTCTGGCATGTGGGCGCCCTGCAGTTTATTTCTGTGCTACTCTGGGTTTGCATTTGGTGGCTTCCAGGACTCTCAGGTGACCAGCCTCCCTCTCTCCCAACTCTCATCAGCAGGCTTGAGAATGTCTGGGTTCAAATATTGAGTTAGGATGGAGACTTTCATGTTGACGCTGTTTTTATCAGATTACCAAAAAGAAAATGTCTGAAGGAGTAAATGAGTGACGTAGCTAGTGAAGCCGCACAGGAATAGAAACTGATCCTGTTTTCCTCCTTCCGCTCCCTGGTGCTTCAGCTCTTCTGTCTGTCCGTGAAACTCTTTTCTGTCTTTCCTGTCTAACTACCTGCCCAGTGACCCATCCATCTAGTGGCACAGTCAACAAACTGGAAACATATTGGAATATAAGCCCATTGTCCCGTAGACATAATTTTATTGGCAAACCAATGAAAAAATTTAATAGGGCATGAAGCCATATTATTTTTAACTTTCCATGATCAATGAGATGTTCAAATTTGCGATCTGTAAGCCCAAGGCTCTCCAGCGATGTCCTCAGGAAGGGTGGGTATAAGAGGTACGACTCCAGCAGCCAGAGAGCTCTTTGTCCCTGTGACAGTTGATGACATACCTCTTTAGTATGTTCTTTATTGTCATTTCAAGAATAATATGTAAATGGAATCAAGAATAATATGTAAATGGAATCATCTAGTATGTAACTGTTAGAGATTGACTTTTTCATTCAGCATAATTTCCTTGTGATCTATCCAAGCTGTTGCCTGTGTCAAGGCCGAAGTTATTGCCTTCTATTTTATTACTAAGTGGAATTCCATGGTATGGATGTATCACAGTTTGTTTAACCCTTCACCCATTGAAGGATATTTGGGTTGTTCCCAGGTGTTAGCTATTACAAATAAAACTGCTATGAACATTCTCATACAGGTTTTGTGTGGACATAAGTTTTCATTTTCTAGGTAAATACATAACAATGCAGTTGCTGGATCATACTGTAAGTTGTATTTAGTTTTTAAAGAAACAGGTAAGCTATTTTATGAAGTGACTTTATTTTGTCACCAGTGATGTAAGAGCCCTCTGGTTTTTCTGCCTCTTTGCCAGCATTTGGTATTTTTAATTTTAGCTGTTCTAATGAATGGAATTCTGATATCTCATCATAGTTTTAATTTGTATTTCCCCAATGGATAATAATATTGAATGCATTTTCATGTGACATATATATATAATATATATATAAATATATATATAAAGATTTGTTTATTTATGCATACAGAACTGGGGTACAGGCCAGAGGTGCAGGGGGGTGATAGGAGTCACCAGAGACAGTGGGGGAGCAGAACAGGCCAACTGGTGAAGTACACTGCCGAGGGGAGCAGCGGGCAGGTCAGGAGAGGTCTGCCACGCCATGTGGATCACCTCCGGGGCAGGCAGGGATAGAACTCATGCAGAAGTGGCTTAAGCTTCTTAGTGCTGTGCTTTAACCTGCTGTGCCACCAGGGAGGGCCTGGTATTTATATTTTAACGGCTATATGATATTCCACAATGGCTATACATATGATTTATTTAAGGGATATAAGGGCTGCCATACAAAGCACCATAGACTGAATGACTTAAACAACAGACAGTTATTTCCCACAGTTTTGGAGGCTGGGAAGTTCAAGAACAGTCATACTTGGGATATTTGGGGAAGCTCTCCTAGAAGAGGTAAAGAGAATACCCAGTCTTTGAGTGCCGCTGTATGTTAGGCACCCACGTGGGTCTTGAGCCATATTATCCCTTGGTATCCACAAGCAAGGTGATATTATCTACTTTTACTCACATGGAAACTGTTGCCCAGAGACCTTAGGTAATCTCTGCTAGGTCACACAGCAGCTAACTGACCATTGCAGGGATTTTCCACTCAGCCGTGCCTACCTCTAAAGCCCAAGCTCACTCCAGTGCAGGGTGGGCATTCAACCTCTGTCCCTGTCTCCCTGCTAGTGTCTGACTCTGGATCCTGGCATAGTTTGGGAGTCCTCCACATGGACTTACCCCCCCCCCCATCAGATGCCATAGCCCATGTGATGATATAAGGCCAGAGAATGGGGATCTGCTCTCCAGAGAGAAGGGAGAAAGAACTGCTCCCTACCTTTAGTTTAACCAAATGGCCTGCTAGAAATGTCAATTCTTTGAAGAAAAATTTCTCACAGTCTTGAGGGTTGCCTTTCTGTCTGCCCGCTGTGTTCTAAACCCGTCTAAATTCTATCTCTGTTAAAAATGCCCCATTGTCCTGCTGCTGGGGAGTGGATAGGCTCGCCATTATATGTCCATACAATGGAATACTGCTCAGCAATAAGAGGGCAGGGACCCCTGGAGCGCAGCATCGTGGTGACTCCCAGTGCATTATGCTGAGTGAAAAAGCCAACCTCAAAAGCCACCTAGGGGAAGAAAAAGAGGATGGGAGAGCTGAGACTAGTTGCCGAGAATGACAATGTTACCTTTAGGAAGGTCTAATTTCTTCTCATATAAAGCCAGTTCGTCTTAGATACATTGACATAGAGAATAAGGAAACCCCTGCTTGGTAATCAGAGCAGTTTCTTTTCATTTAGGCAACAGAGGAAAGGCTGAACTGCTGGCCTGTCCACTTCTGTAACGTTATAGAAAAGGCAAAGCTATTGGAATTGAGGACACAGCAGCCGACCTGGGGGTGGGGAGTGCTCGTACAGGGGTACGAGGGAATTTTCGGGGGACCTGTTATTTAGCTTGATTGTAGAAGTGGTTGTGTGACTCCCTACATTTGCCCAAGCTCATAAAAATGCATCGCAGAGAGTGCAATTTTACTGTATATAAACTAAAATGCAAATTAAACAATCCACTGTCTTAAAATGACTTCCTAGAGTTTTAGGAAGGAAAAAAAAATGAGGCCACAAGCAGTTAAAGAAAATGTCTGTGGTTCCTGAGGGTTTGTGGGAACTGTTTCTTGGCTGTTGGGCACTGGCCCGAGGGCCCATCTCCCGGCCTCTCTTGTTTCACCCTGCTTTTCTCTCTTGCCAGCATTCAGTAGCTACAGCATCGTAAGAGACAAGGAAAGTTCTGTGGCGCCCAGAAAAGAATCAATAACTGCCCATCCTGGGTTGTCATGGCAATCGTGACATCACCCTCGCAACCTACACCCTTGCGACGGGCACTGTTGGTGTTTGTAAAATAACAGAAGAAGGAAAGGCAGCCAGGCTTCCTGGTGACAGGTGGAGGAGAGCCCCTGGAGTTGGGGACTCCGGGCTTTGGGGACTCTGGTCCCCATCTTGCAGGAAGGCATCAAAGCTGGGTCCCTTGCCCTGGGCCTCTGCCACCAAGCACTGCTGGGGAGGGATCTAGCCTTCTCTGGGGCTTTGGGGCAAAATCTATCAAAGGTGTCCTGTGTACACTCATGTCAATATCAAGGGCTGTAATAGCAAATGACTGCCCCTAGGTGGCTTCATAGGACAGAACTGTGAACTCACTGACGGCCAGGGCCAGAGCCCGTTCCTGGAGCTCGGAGGCAGGATCAGCTCGCGACTCTCGCTTCTACAGATTGCCTCCATCCTGGCCTCCTTGCTGGCCTCCAGCTACATCACTCCAACCTCCACCCTGCGTCACATACACTCTCTCCTCTTTAAAGGCCTCTGGTCATGACCGATGAGGGGCTCAGGCCCTCCAGGAGGACCTCATCCTAATTAGTGACATCTCCAGCAATCCAGTTTTCAAGCGAGGTCCCATTCTGAGGTCCTAGGGTTAGCACTCCTCATGGGAGTTTGGGGAGGATGTGATTCAATCCATAGCACGATTTCTGCTGTTATTACCTCTTATACATAAGCTGGTCTCAGCCATGGACAGCATCCTGGCCTCCCATGAACCAGGGGGGCTGCTGGCTGGCTGCTTTGAACTCCTAGGAAAGCCGTGCTTGTGTGAGCTCCTACTCCACAGCAGGTTCTCTGTCTTCTCTGGGACCATGAGTTCAGCACTTAATCTGCTCCGCTGCAGCAGTTCTGATCCTACGGGAGATGGCTCCCCACGTCTGGGACTAGCAGGGTTCTATAACAGATACCACTGTGGGGATGAGGTACGAGACAGGCTGAGAGGGAGGCGGGGAGGGAGGGAGGGGTGAAGAGTGGCGGGATCCCTTTCTCCCTGCTGACAGGAGCTGAGGTCTGCTGACTGAGGGTTCTGAGCAGAGCTCTCCCAGCTCCCAGCAGAGCGTCCTGGAATTGTGCCTCTCCTTCCAGGTTCATGAACCACCGAGTCCCCGCCCACAAGCGGTACCAGCCCACGGAGTATGAGCATGCTGCCAACTGTGCCACCCATGCCGTGAGTGACTCCGGGGACGCTGGGAGCTCAGAGAGCCCACTGCAGGGCTTTCCCTCTTGGGGGAATTCACTGTGCCCATTTTTGGCAAAGTTGCAAGACACCTGCTAAGTCTTCTGTGACCCTTGGGAGACAGAGTGGGGTCTTGGGGGGACACCATGTCGGTAGATTGTACTGGGGTGCTGACATGCCTCTTTCATTCTAAGAGCTGCTACTGGCTCCCAGTAGCTGCAACAAGCCCCAGCCAGGTCTTTTTTTTTTTTTTTAAGATTTATTTATTTATGCATACAGAACTGGGCATAGGCCAGAGGTGTGTGTGGGGTGGTGGTGGAGGTGAAAGACAGAGTGGGGAGCAAAACAGGCAGATGGATTGAAATACATGTGAGGGGAGCAGCAGGCAGGTCAGGAGAGGTCTGCTGTGCCATGTGGGGCACCCCCCTGGCCTGGGGTCTAACTCCTGCTGCAGTGGCTGCTGTAACTTCATAGTGCTGTGCTTTAACCTGCTGTGCCACCAGGAAGGGCCCCCAGCCAGGTTTTAGTGGTCTGTCAGCCTGTCTCCCACTGCTGTGCTCTACTCCAGGCTTTGGCACCTTCACACATTGTTTCTAAAGGGAAGGCAGACTCCATGCCTCTGCACAGGCTGTTCCCTCTGGAATCCTGGCTGTGCCCAGCATAGCCTCATCTCTCCACCTTTCGTGGCCTGCTCAAATATTTGCCCCACACCTTCCCATCTGCCAAGTGTTGTTATATCTTCACTGTCTAGCTAGAATGGATCAGTCCGTCTGCTCATTCATTCACTGGGTGTTCCTGGGCACCCTTGAAGTGCCAAGCACCATTGCAGGCCCTGGCGATAAAGATGTGATTTAAACCAAGTCTCCGTGGGTCGGGAGCTCCTTGGTGTCTGGGATGTGGCAGTGTGCCTGGTGCTGTGGAGGTATGTGTGGAAGGGAACTGAACTTGTTTTTAACCCTCCTCCTCTGAGATCCCTGCTGTGCCTTTCCGAGCCCAGGTCCCCGGTGGGCATCAGAGTCAGGGGTAGCTGGTGCCGATCAGCGCTTAGTGTGGACCCTGTGCTGTGCTGGGTCCTGCTCCCATCTTGTCAATCTGTTGTGTTAGAGCAGGCGCTCGATGGAGCAAAGCCCGCTGCATGAGGCTCGAAACACTGGCTCCCTGTTTTGCAGAGGAGGGGACTGAGAACTCGGGCCAAAGCACTCGCCCAAAGTCTTCACTGTCACCGGTAGACATTGCATTGCTACCTTTGAACCCCAGCTCCATCATTTTGTGGCTCTGAATCTTAGTTTCCGTATCTGCAGAATGGGCGTTAGGAGTTGCTCTCGAGGGGGCTGTAGGCATACTCAAGGCATCTGTGTACAGTGTGGCATCTTGGTGAGAGTCCGCTTCTTCCCCACACTCCTGGGGAAAGAAGCATTCAACTGGCCCTGCTACCATCCTTGGGGGAAACTGAGGCAGAGAGCAACTTCTTTTCCTATCTTCCCAGCAGAGATGGCAGCAGCATCCTTGTCCCCTTATTCCAGCATGACCCAGCAGGGGGCGCCAAGTCACACGCACCAGACTGATTTATAATACATTGGAATAATTGGATCTCAACTAGTGAGAATAAGCTGTACAGGAATTAGTGCTCAATATATATTGTAGAAATTTACTGAAATCTTTTGGATGTGAATGTGTTACTTCAAGTGACTTATATTCCCTGAAATTTGTTTGGGTGTTAAAACAAACCCAAATGTGTATTTTTTTGTTACAGAGCCCTGCTTTATAAGTTTGCAATAAAGTTTCAATATAGAAAAAAAAAAGTCATTCATTTCTGCATTTGCAGGCACACAGGTGAGGTCAGGGCATGGCAGGTGTGTTTTGTCTGCTGTCCTTCCCCAGGATGTGCTCACAGACTTGGAGAAGGCATGAATGATTTAGTGAATCAATTTTATGTCAGTAGGTAATGATAAAATAGCCGACACATAGTCAGAATCCTCAGCTAAATGGCACCTACACGCCTGAGTTGGTAAGTAGCATGTGATAGTCATGATATATGTTTTAAGGTGGCATAAAAGATCCAGGGGAGGGCCCTCCCTGGTGGTGCAAACAGTTAGGAGGCAGCACTGTAAGCGAGCAGCAGCTGCTGCAGTGCAAGTTCAATCCCCGGCCCTGGAAGTGACCCACATGGCGCGGCAGACTGTTCCTGACACACCTGCTGCTCCCCTCAGCAGTGGACTTCATCATCTGTCCACTCTGCTCCTCACTCACTCTCTGGTGAGTCCTCCTGCCACCCCTGCACCTCTGGCTTGTACTGAGGTACACTACTGGCTTGCACCTCTGGCCTGTACCCCAGGTCTGTATGTATAAATAAATAAATCTTAAAAAAAAAAGATCAAGGTGAGTGGTCTTCAAAGTTTGGAGTTCCACCCCCTTATCTCATCCGTTGCTGTTCTGTCTGCCCGTGCTGACATGTGCATGGTGGCTAATGGACTTTTTTTAGGAACAGCCCCTTCCTCTTGATTGCTACCACTGACGCATCCCTATCCATCACGTGACTTCATGAACAAGCCAGAGCAGGCCTGGGGCATTTCCACTATCAAGAGAAGCTCTGTAGGAGGGTGCAGGTCTAGGCCATTTCACACATCACGAAGTTCTGTGGGACAGCGCTGTTCTAGAACATTCCCATAGCCGCAGGGAGTTCCATGAGACAGCTCAGGTGGTTCTAGGATGTTTACATACAGGCAGTCCTGTTGGACATCACAGCCCAGAACACCTGCGTTGAGGGGAGTTCTGTGGGACACTGGAAATCCCGTGGGCCAGCACAGGTCTGGAGAAAAGGAAGGGAGGTGTGCTTGGGGGAGCTGTGGACCCCTGGAGCACTGTCCTACTGCTGCTTCCAGCTCTGGATCATTCCCAGCATCCTCGGCAGCTCCAACCTCTACTTCCTGTCGGATGATGACTGGGAGACCATTTCTGCCTGGATCTACGGCCTTGGCCTCTGTGGGCTCTTTGTGGTGTCCACTGTCTTCCACACGATCTCCTGGAAAAAGAGCCACCTCAGGTACCTGCTGCCCGGCCCACGGGAGAGGTGCATCCTGGGCGGGTGCCAGAGCAGAGGGCTGAGGTGGGTGTGGAGTGTGACTCAGGACGTGCTCAGCTGCGCCGGGGGACTAAGATGGACGATATTTGTCACTGGCCAGGAGCAGGGGGTCTTCAGGGGCGCACCGGCAGTTTCCACACTTGGGCCTTTTAGCTAGAGCGCTCTTTCACCTTTGAAGTCTTTTTGAAAGACTCTATGACATGGAATGGCACCCAACTGAAAGTCCAGTTTCCATCTTCCACCAGCCAAGCGACTCCCTCTTCCTATTTTATGTGCCTGCCAACGTGATGTGGTACCTACAGATGTAGAACCATATGCTTGCCCCCTGAAACCTACATAATGTCAACCAAGGTTACTCAGTAAAAATGTATAAAACCAAGATAACAGAAATGCAGGTTCTCCGATGAACAGGCTGGAAGAGGGCGTGGGCCCGCACCTTTGGCAAGAGGTGGGTCCACAGTAGGGCCCCAGAGGGTGACAGGGAGACCTTCTAGGCTGTTTGCAGACAGGAAAGCGAGATGCGTGGGGTGGCGGCTGGAGGGTGGAGAATGGGCCCCAGCACAGGCCCACCCTGCCTGGTGGAAGAGGAGGGGCCAGCCCCTGCTGCCCACTGCTCGCTGACCGCCCTCTCTGCCCCAGGATGGTGGAGCACTGCCTGCACATGTTCGACCGCATGGTCATCTACTTCTTCATAGCAGCCTCCTACGCGCCCTGGTGAGTGCCCCGCAGGACGAAGGGCTGCTGCCTCTCACCCCCTGTGTGAGCTAGTCGGTGCTGCCTACTTGGTATTGGCCAGGTAGCTCATTGACTGTGCCCAGGGCACAGAGGCCCCCTGCCCCTTCTCTTCTGGGTATTCTCTGCTCCTATTACTGTGCGGCTCCCCAGGGACTTAGGGGATTATGGGTTAGTGGCCCCTAGAGGAAGAAAGTGGGTGGTCAGCTGGCAGGCTATGAGGTCTGGGGGTGGAAGAAGGGGGTTGAAACAGAATATTGATGAGGTTTTATTTTACGGGCCAAAGGCTGCCTGCCTCGGGTGCAGGGAGGCGCAGGCGCACTGGTCCTCTGGGAGACAGATGGTGGGGCCTGGTCCCCACCGGTGGCGTGGAGGTGGGGAGGAGAGGGTGGCTGGATAGCAAAGATATTTGCAGGACAGTGAGCTGACTGAGTGCCAGTGGGAAGGGGGAAGATGGAGGGGTGAATGTCAGGGCTTTGGAATGGCTTCTCTGGAGAATCAGCAAACGTGGGGCGTGATGGACGTTGGCTCTACTGCCGTCTGCCCAGGGACAAGGTCAGGTGCAAGCCGCTGAGCGAGGGGCCTTGCTTTTCCCTGAGAGCCTGTGCTGAGGTTGTCAGATGCCAGAGGGGTGGGTGCACAGAACCTTCCGACAAAGTGTAGATCCTGGGTGAGACTGCAGTTTGAGTGGGTGGTGGGTGGCTTCTGGAACATGCCAAGTGGAGGGCAGCGAATGGCTCGCGACGCCATGCACTGGCCGGGCTCACTGGACACATCTGGGCACACCTCCACCTGGCAGGAGCCAGGTAGCATCCACTTTCTTCCTGAATGTTTCTGGACAGCAAAGCCAAGCCTCAGGCTCAGCTGCCGTGGGTGCTCTTGACATAGCTTTCTAGAACAAACCGTGCACTTCGCTGCCACCCAGCCTGTCAGTGATGGACTGGGAGCTGGCTTTGTGCCATGCTGGTGTCTGGGCAGGGTCACAGGCTGCTCTCCTCATGGCCTTCTTGTTTGCCAGGGGACATAGGACACGTGGGGAGTGCCATGAAGCCAGGGTGCAGGAGCCGAGATGGGGAGACCTGCTCTGCTTGGCGAGCTCCTCTGGAGGAAAAGTCAGCAGAACTTGGGAATCCAAGGGCAAGAGAGGACAGAGGGGTGATGGTGACCAGCTTTCATGCTGGACGCCTGTGCGAGGGACTGAAAATGGGTGCTGCAGCAGTGTCCATGGCCGGGCCTGGGCTGTCTGGCTTGTGGTGCCGCCACCTAAGTCAATGTCTGGAGGAAACAGCTGGTGGATACTGGAGAAAGAGTGCCTGGGGCAGCTGGCACTGCCTGCGCAGAGTGAGAAAAGCTGCTGTCTGGAGCCTGGGCAGAGAACCTCAGGAGCCAGGAAGAGCCTGCCTTCCTGGAGTCTCTCTGTCGCCCTCCACTGACAGAAGTCATCACTGTGCCCGCTACAAAGGAGGACTGTTCAGGGGCCAGCTCCTTCATTCAAAGCCAGTGAAAAGAATGACGTTGGGGGTCGGGGGATGGGTGGGGGAGGCGAAAGCCTGGCAACGGCTCAGATGGCACCCCCCTCGATTTCCCCTTCCCATTTGGTAGACATTTGAGTGGTTTTCAGGTGTGCCCCTTTGGGCCAACATGGCCACGGGTGTGCTGCTCCTGAGGCCGCCCCTGAACTAGACAGTTCTTGGAGTGTGCCCTGCAGAGTGGTCTCTGCCATGCTGCCCTCCAACTGGCTTCCCTTACCAGTGTACCCATTCATTTGAGGTGCCCTTTTTCTTCATGCTGGGGCATGATTGGCCTGGCTGATTTCCCTCTAGTACTTGCTAGTTGTTCAGGTTCTACTGTTCTCTCCGCCTCTCTGTGTGTTTTCCCACCACAGGCCGTGTCCGGTCACTAGGGCCATGGTGGGAGGAGTTTCCTCAGGGTCAGTTCTCCCTGTGACCAGCAGGCCATTGAGGATGAGGTCCCAGGGGCCCCCTCAGGCTGTGCCCTCTCTGTCTCGCCCTCTCTCAGGCTGAACCTTCGGGAACTGGGGCCCTGGGCCTCCCACATGCGCTGGCTGGTCTGGATCATGGCCTCCGTCGGCACCATCTATGTCTTCTTCTTTCATGAGCGGTAAGTCAGCACCCAGGTTCTTGCTGCTCCTGCAGGGTCCCTGCCCTGCTTTGGGGGAGACGAGACCGCAGGGTGATCCTGGAAGCGTGAGGGCCCAGTGACCAGGCCCTGGGGTGGCCCCCGGGACAGCCTGGAGGGTCAGTCTGGCAGTTCCTAGACCCCCAGGACCTTGTCACATCCTATCCAACTTCCCTAACCCTTGCTAGCAGATAAGTGGGGAGGCGTGAGCACTGGCTCCCCTTTCCTTCGTCTTACTGAGTAATGGGGTGGGAACAATTAAGAGGGGGAGAGACAGAGCACCAGTAGCAAAAGGAACAATAGATTTCTGAAATCTCCAGGGATAACAGTTGATGCAGCTACTTAGATGGATTGAGTGGTGCTTGGGTCACATGGGTGAAGGTGCTGGGATCACATAGTAAAAGTAACGTCTGCCTTGGGAGGGAGTGTATAAAGTAGCCCGCCCCCATCATGCTATTTCCAGCATTTGCAATCTGCATGTGTCATTTCATGGATGTGGAAACTGAGTCTGAGAGAGAGAAACACACCTGCCATAGGTGACCAAACTCTACCAAGCTGGGTGAAAACAGCCCAGGAGTGCAGGGCTGAGGCAGAGACCCCTCCTCTTCCTCTTCCTCTTCCACCCATCTGTCCCAGGCCACGGTGGTTTGTCTTTCTGCCAGGTACAAGCTTGTGGAGCTGCTCTGCTATGTCATCATGGGCTTCTTCCCGGCCCTGGTAATCCTTTCAATGGTAAGTGCCACCCAGCTGGTGTGGGGCCTGACATCGGCTGCACGGGGCCTGGAGTGAGGTCGCCAAGTCAACAGATGGGGAAACTGAGGCCCCGTGGGTCAGCATGACCTGCCGATAGAGGCAGTCATGAGCAGGCTATTCCTGTGGGCTTGAGCACCTACCCAGCCCTCCCTGGGCTATTAACTCACTGCACCCTAGTTTCCGGTCTGCTTACGGATGGGAAAGTGATTCGAATGGTGTGGGCCAGAGTAAGGACCCCTCTGCTAAATCGAATCTGCAATGTAACTGGCCAGGAGCAGAGCCACATCTCAGGTCCTCCAACTCCTCCCTGGGATGTGCTGATATTCTAATTGCTTCTTGGCCCAGGCAATCCAGTGCAGGGGGAAACCCCGTCTCCGTCTGCACCACACACTTTCCAGCCCTTACCAAATGCAAGAAACTTGCCCACAGGAGCCTATTGTTTGTCTCAGGCATCGCTGGGGTTGGACATGCCCAGCCCCATTTCAGAAATGTGGATGCTCAGGCTCAGAGTGGGGGAGTGACCCCAGGGGCATGCAGCCCTTGAGGGGCTGAACTGGGATTTGGCCCCATAACTCCCACTGTGAGTATTGGGGTCTCTGAGTCACACCTGGGAGTGAGCAAAGGGCCCTCAGAGAGCGAGAGCAGCTTGTGTGGCCACTTGGGGGTGTCGCCCCTCTCTGAGCCTGTAGCCCAGCGTGAGGCTGGGGGGTGTGTTTCTGTGTCTGCCACATCAGGTCACTCCTGCCTCGTAGGTTGTTGTGACCTGGCGGTAGATAGTGCAAGGAACACAGAGCCTGGCCCTTGGTGAGCCCCAGGTATTATTACTATGACATTGCTATTCAGGGACAGTCTCTTGAGGGTGGTGTGGTTGTGGTTGGGCACCAACAAAGGTGATGGAGCAGAGGTTGATCTGATGCCCCATGGGGAATCTGGGCTGGCTTGCCACCTGTGAGCCATTTCATTTTGGGGAGCAGGGGATTGGCTGGATGCGACAGTCTTGTTAGCTGCTCCTCTGACCTGTGCTTGTCCTTGTCTTTGCCGACAGCCCAACACTGAGGGCATCTGGGAGTTGATGACCGGAGGAGTCTTCTACTGCATGGGCATGGTGTTCTTCAAGAGCGATGGGAGGGTCCCCTTCGCCCATGCCATCTGGCATCTCTTTGTGGCATTTGGTGCTGGTACTCACTACTATGCCATCTGGAGGTATCTCTATCTGCCCAGCACCCTGCAGGCCAAGGTATCCAAATGAGATGGCCCAGACGTCACAGAGCCTGTGGGCATTTGGAACAGAGCATCTCGGGAAGTGTTTCTGTGAACCTTAGCTCAGATCACAATGCCTGGACCTGTCTGCCCTTCCGTGGGTAGAGTGAGCTTTTGAGGGGTCCGAGGTTACTTCTGGTGACAACCAGACCATCTTTGTTTCCAGGTGACAAAGAAAGAATTTAGTCATTTTACAGAGGAGAAATTAATCCTGTTATGTGCTTCTATTCTAGACAAGTGTTTCCTAATACAGTCAACATTAACATCTTCAGAAAAGGGAGTGGACACTGCCCTGGAAAACTGGGAAGCAATGAGCCAATATGTGCTTCTTAAGACCCTGAGAAATCTCTCAGGGTGGGTTTTTTTAATACCTGGATGGCCAGAGCTTCCTTTCCTGCTACCAAGTCCTGGCTTGGGGAATTGTCCCATTCAGGGAACATGATCCAGCTTGTGGATCAAGAATGGTGAATATCCATGACCATCGCAGACATTACCAATCAACTGCAGCATGGTGTCATCAGACTTCCCGAGTCAGAGCTCTGGGCAGTCACTCCCAATCAATTTGGCACTCATGAAGTCACCTCTTTGCCTTTCCTGCCCAGAGTGCTGTGCAGTGGGACCAAGGCCTCACCTGTTACATCTCCTTGTGGGGAAGCATGCTTATCTTCTGACACTATGCCTGCACCCCTTCCCTTTTGCCATTTTGGAGAAGCTCCATTTTGGGCAGTCCAGGGGCAGTAGGAAGAGATCAAGGCATACACTTGGGGCAGCCCCTGACTCTCTCCACCATCGCTGGTTCTCAGGACAGAGGAGAAGTGAGCGACTGGGGTGGGGAAGCTGTTGCTTGGTCATTTCTCAGAGGAATTACAAGTGCTGCTCATTAGGGAGGACAGGCATGTCCTGGAAACATGCTCACCGGATCCAGATTTTGGGTTGACGATGACAAATTCAGATTCTCACTTGATACCAAGCAATGGCCCTTCTGGGCTCCTCAGGTGAACCCCGGAGGGCAGGCCTCAGTTAGTTTGATGTGGATCATGGCAGGCTGTCTGGAGACCTCCAACCTGTGAGTCCCTGTTACCCCAGTGAAAGGCTTTCAAGGGCCTTACCTCACAGCCTGCTGCCTGGCTGGACCAGCTGCTTGGTACCAGGCTCATGGACACATAACTGGGAATGAGGGAGCCGGCCCATCTCCAGGATCTGAATGGGAATCTCAGAATGCTTGGATCAAGGATTTGATTTGTCTCCACTCAGACATCCTTTTCCACGACTCCCAGCCAGAGTTGAGTGGGCAAGGATGGGTAAAGACAGGATGCCTTATGTTTATTTTTAGTACATTCCAGGGTATTTCCGGGCTCTGACATCTGGAATCCTGTGTGTCCAAGCCAGTATTAGATCACTGTGACCTTCCTCAGAGAGGTGGGTGCAGAACTGGCTGATGCACTAGGGCTGTTTTGTCCTCGTGTGTGTGTGTGTGTGTGTGTGTGTGTGCATGGGGACATGCATGTGGGTGTGCTCGTGTGCATATGAGTGCATGTGTGTGCGTCTACCCTGCCATTCCTAGGCCCTGGAAACAGCCTTCAGGCAGCGTGCATACCTGCACACATCAACTGGGGTCAGGGTTGAAAGCCAGTGGGGAGGGGAAGCTTTATGGGGGAGGACAGGCTGGGTTTACCAACCCTCAGTTGGGGGTAGGATGGGGGCAGAGTCATGTGGGTTCTGGTCTGCTGTTGAGTGAACCTCCCAAAGTGTCAGCACCCTGCCAACTGGATAAAAATCCTCTTATGGGGGCGCCAAAGCCCTGCTAGAGGGCCGTGCTGGGTGCTGGGGCCTCTTTAGTGGCCTTGCAGGCCCTGCTGAGGGGCCTGCAGTCTGATGCCTGCATCTCCTGGGGTTCCCTCCTCCTGGACATTTGATCTTGCATTTCCCCCAGCATCATCTGCCTTTTTACATCCCTGCCACATATTTTAAGGTGCCTATTCACCCTCTCTTCTGATCAACCTACCCCTATTTTTTCAAAGTCTCACTCAGGCATCAGCATAGAGGAACTTCTAGCTCACCTCTGACTTGGGTACTCTCCCTTTCCACTTCTCAACAACCCCTGTGCTTACTTGTACCACAGCAGGGTACAGGTGAGTTCTGTCCTTTGTCACCCTGGTAATTATGTCTGCTCCCCCACAATCCAAGATCTCCTAGAGGAGGGATTGTGTCTTGCTAGACTTGGGGTGAGATCTATCATCCTCCATTGTGAGGGCTTGGACCAATTCCTCAATCTCTTTCCTCAGTTAAGACAGCAGGGTTGCCTGAAGATTCAGCAGGATAAGGAATATCAAATACCCACCATGGTCTCCTTCTCCTAATTGATGCCCTTGTGCATTTGGGAAGCAACCCCTGTTAAGGAAGGTAACACTCTTCCAAGGGTGTCAGCAAACTTACTAGCCAAAGAAATGAATCACTAATGGTGAAATCTCTGACTGTGGACAGCCAAATGAGGGAATTCTATAGGACCTTGACCACATTTTCTTGCTTTGCTTCAATTCAGGATATTCTCCCATGAACTCTTTCTTTTCTGAGCATCATGTTGAAAGAGTTTCTTGGAATGCAGTTTCACCCTAGACTTCCTCCAAACATGTCCCAAATAGTGCAGGAAATACAAGGCGTTCCTTTCACCAGTCTCTCTATAGGTAAGGCCCTGTCCCAGGAGTGTTGTACTGGGTTTGTACAGTGGGCACAACACTGAACATTCAGATCCCAGCAGCTCCTTCCTTCCCATCCCTGAGACTGTCATGTGGCAGAACTAACCAGTAAAGTGACTGTCATGTCCCAAGGAGCCAGGGGGGCAGTAGACAGTAGATAGGTCTGTTTGACCTTCCACCACTTCAGTGACTGCTTCTGCTTAGGATTGAGTTAGGCACTTGCCAGGTACAGTGAGCGGTGGGAGCTGTAAGGGAGGTTAGAGGTGGAGGCAGGACTGGGGGACAGGCTCACGCTCAACCTACGCAGGGTAAAGCCAGATCTTTGCTGGGAGGAAGCCAGAACGGCTGTTCTCAGCTCTGAAGTTCAGCCAGCGAGCTACCAAAGAGGTTTGTTAAATTACAGATGCAGGGGGTGATCATTTGTGCGAAGCCACTCATGTAGCTCCCAGTGGCAGGGAGGCCCCGGGCTGCCTCCAGCCCTGTGTTTGCTCTGAACGTCTTCTCTGCTGATGTTCACTGCAGGACTTGGGACGCCCCTTTAAAAGACTGGCCCACAGGCCCCCGCAGTACGTGCCTCCTGTGTACAGCTGGCCAGCAGGAGGCCCATGGGTCTCTCTGTTATCTTCTGTGGGGGTTGATGTCCAGGGCTGATCTGCTTTGACCTCAACTCTGAGCTGGAAGGAGTGGAAGAGCAGCTGAGGGTGTCTATCTTGCAGATGGGCGAATGGGTGGGAGCAGTGGGGTGGCCTGCCTGTGGCATAGTCATAGAGTCCAGTGAACTTGGCCAGAACCCCACCTGATTCCAGCCCAGTGTGCATTTTACTCCCTGTTTCCATGTGGCCAAGTTTGGTTGGTCAGCCAGCAGGAAGCTGTGGCCATCTTGGAAGAGACGCCTGGAGCAGCCTGGAGACCTGGGTTTTGCTTCTCTGTTTCCTGCTCATGGTGTGACTTTGCACAAATGACTTCGCTGGGCTTCCATCTGACCAGCTATAAAGTGCTCTTACTTGACGGACTGCACGCTGCTGGTCCATCTCCAGGCTGTGCATGCTAGGGATGAGCAATGAGCATGCTAGGGGTGTGAGCAATGGATTGGAGCCTTGGTCAGATGCCTGTGTCTCTGTGGGTCCACACAGAGCTCTGCACTTAGCAGGGGTCCAGACAAATTTGGGGATGAGTGGGAAAGGGTGAACTTGGTCTTCATTTCTTCCTCTCCTGAGGTGGGAGGCGTGGCTGGGGGGCCTCCTGCAAGTGGACCCTGGTACATGGGGGTCAGGAAGAAGCAGACTCATAGTCATGGTCCTGTGGCACCTCTCCAGTCTTGCTTCGTGGAGGCTCTCAACATGGGAAGGCCAACAGAAATGCCAGTGGGCTGGTGTTTCCCACATTGAGTTGACAGTGTGCTGTGGCTCTGGGGAGTGGGTCTGCAGTTTGGAAACTGGTGTCTGAGGCCAGCCTGCGGATGCGGGATGAAGGATCCAGAGCCCCCAGGAGGCAGGCCAGGTGGAGAGTATGAAGCTAGGGTTCTCTGAGGAGGGACCCCGAGACTCACCCAGGCTCGTTGTAGGTTGAGAGAGTGTGTCTAGATCCTAGAGACTGGGGTGGGGGTTTGTTTTATTTTCAACAAAATAATTTGTTATTATAAGCATTTTATAAGATACTAGAAAGGTGGAAGGGTTTTAGTCTCCCTACCTCTCAGGTGATTGTTCTTAATCCTTTGTGGGTTTTTGTGTTTTTTTCCTCTGACATTTTGTATCTTACCCTTTTTTTTTTTAAGAAATATTTTTGTTTATTATTCCAGATGCTTTGCAAACATTATTGTACAGGTCTCCACTGAGTGGCTATTCCACAACTTCTCTAGCCACTTCTTTCACTTTTAATTAGAGTGCATGTTGGCAATAGGATCTCTCCACATCAGTTTCCCCCAATTTCATACGTTTTCTTCAGGTCACATTAAGAAGCTGGGTGAATCTCCTCTTGCTGCCTGCTGTCTCTGGACTGATAGTCCCCTAAACGTGGCCCTTGTGTCAGGAGAGTTGGCACACCAGGAGCCTGCTGCTGGGTGCTTCCAGGGGCTGGTCTAGCTGGAAGATTCCGGAAAGTCAGCTCCAGCCTGCAGCCTGTGTGATGGCCCATGGAGCAGGGCACGGGGAGTGAGGGCGTGGAGGGACTTTCCCAGGTCCCGAGTGCCAGGGCTTTGTGGCCGGTGCGCTCAGCCCGCGTGATGCTGCCCACTCTGGTGGGAGACGGGTGTCAGCCAGGGCAAAGGTGTGTCCCATGTGGTGGTACCCGAAACCGACGGTTAAATATTCAGAAGTGGTTGCCAAACCACTGGCACTGTGAGATTGGTCTCGGCAGGAGTACCTACCCGTGGAAATTGGCAAAGGCTGCGTGGCAGAGATCAGTATTTTCTGAGAGCAGGCTTCCAGGCCCGCTGCTGCCCGAGGCTGTGTCTGCTTTTCTGTATCCCGCCCTGCTCTTCACCAGGACGCCAGGTTACATATAGATGCCCAACTGTGTACTCACGTCCACATTCTTATATATTCTTGTTTTTTTTTTTAAGATTTATTTATTTTTGCATACAAGAACTGGGGTACAGGCCAGAGTTGCAGGTGGTGAGAGGATTCACCAGAGATAGAACAGGTAGATCTACTGAAACACACTGCTGCAGGGAGCAGCAGGTGAAACAGAAGAGGTCTGCTGTGCCAGGGAATCAAACTCAGGCTGCAGTGGCTGTGGCCAGCTTCATAGCGCTGTGCTTTACCCAGTTGCACCACTAGGGAGGGCCCTGCGTTCTTATATATTTTTCTCCCAGACCTGGCAAGATAGAATCATGGTTTCCATATTACATGGGGAGACTGAGGCTACACAGAGAAGCTAAGTGACTTGTCCAAGGTGGTCCAGCTGCTACAGGCAGGGCCCAGAAGCCAAGTCACAATCCCTGGCTGTCACATCCTGCATCTTACCTCTGCTCTGTGCTATTTTGCTCCCCAGAAGCAGGTCCCAAAAGCACGGTGGTGAAGGGTCAACACAGGGTATACAGAGCTGCGCTGCCACACATGTCCCTCGTGTCCCGGTGGCCTTCTCTTTGCTAACCTGGCTTCATGGTGGGCTCTCAATCCGGTTTTTATCTTCATGGTATCAGGAGGGGATGTGCCACTTCCCCGCTGAGGCCTGGCCACCCGGATGGGAGGATTACTGTGCACTGTAGTATTTTCCCAGCCTACCCTCTGCATGGGCCAGCTTGCATGGGTCAGCTGTCCTGGTTACTCCCAGATGCCAGTGTTTATGAAGACTTTTAATACCCACAATAAGAAATACACTGTGATTCCAGCTCATATAGCCATCACTGTCATAGAACTTACTGAGAGACACACTGGGATATTTCTTCCTCTAACCTCTCCATCCTATCCTACCTTCCCACCCTGAAGAGGGACCCCGAGACTCACCCAGGGACCCCAAGACTGACCCACCCTACCCTGTCACATGTCCTTCTTCCAAGTTGTGCTCGCTATAACTTTATAACCCACAAGTGGGTCTGAACCTTCAGTTCTGGAAACTACTCTTGGTAGTTCTCTCTGTGAGCTGTGGGTACCGGTACCAGGTATATTTAGTGCTTGTTTGCGCTGAATGTGGGGGTCAGCATCGTGCTATGCCTGGTGAGTCTGGGTGCCCCAAGGCCATGTAGCGACAGTCAGAGGAAATAAATGAGGAGCTTCTGAGAATCTGATTACTCGGAACCCTAACCCCAAATTTTGGGGTCTCTTGTCCTTGTGATGGTTCAGTGTGGGGCCTTAGGGCAGGATGGTCAGAGACCTCAGGTGGGTAGCACCTCTGAATATGTGTCAGGCTTAGTTCTGGCAGGTTGGGGAGGCAGAAACAGAAATCCACTCAAGAAAGAAGATCCATTTTGGGAATTGCTGCTCAGCCTCCGTGAGCAATGCAGAGTCCAGACTCTCACACTGCAGAATGAACCTCCTGCCATCCTGTGGGCAAGGCCAGGTGTCTCTAGGGCCTATCTGCTCCTGTGCAGGGCGCGGGTCCTGCTACTTCTAAGGCCTTTCTTCAGAGGGGAGGGGTCAGGAGCTCAGCTTGTCCTTCATACATGTTTTGTAGACCTATGTACAGTGTTTGAGGGTGGCATTTGTGGCATGATTTTTAACATGTGCCCTGCGAGTATTATCGGATCCTTTCTGTGCTTGTGGCATTGCTTTTTTGTATTAACACAGTATTTGATAAATATTTATATGAAGAAGAATAATCCTACTGGGAAATGTTAATGTTTCCAGTGGCGTAGGAAGAATTTAAATCAATAAAAATTCAAGAGGCCTCATTCTTGCCCAGTTGTCTTTTTAACAACACTTGTCAATTATTTTTATAAAAATAAACTGTGTTCATTGTAGAAAACTTGGAATGTTTAGAGGAGGAGTAAGTTGAAAACTCTGTATTAGCTTTGTATTGTTGTTTACCAAATTATACTAAAATATAGTGGTTAACACAACCATAATCACCAGTGTCTCTTGTGGTTTCTCTGGGTCAGGAATTCAATCTGGGCTTAGCTGAAGGAAGTGAAGGTTGAGGGCCAGAATCCACTGGTGGTTCACTCACTTCTGGTGGTTGATGCTGGCAGCCGACCATGGCCCTTACTGGGGAGGTTGACTAAGCACCCTGATTAAAAAATTTTTTTTTTAATTAGTCAGGTTTGGTGAGGCTGACAGATAGGGAGAGCACTGCTATTGAAAAGACAGCTTGTCACTTTGCTCTCAAGAGGAGGGTCATGCCAGTATAAGCAGGGCCATGTGGGGGATTACATTGGTCCCATCTTGCAGAGGGGGCAAGGGGAATAGAAATAAGAGCCCCTGTTATGGTTTGGATGGGGAGGTGTTGGCAAGGCGAGGCGAGCAGCCTTACAATTGGCTAGTCTGGTTAATTTCATCAGGCCTCTGCATACAGGGATGGGCTGTCTCTGGTTGTCTGGTACCTAATCCTGGGGTGATGAGGACAGGGGAACTATTGTCCTGGAGTGTGGGACCATAGCGGAGATGGGGAGATGCAGACTCTCAGTTGGTTTGTGCCTGAACGGTGTGCTAGACCTCTAGGGGTTGGTCAGCCCTGGGAGGGGTAGTCACTCCATAGTCAGTAAGGCCCTAGGTATCAAAACTTCAGGGGAAAAGAAAAGAAATGCTAATGTACACCCCCAGGTGGCTTCTCCATGCAGTCTGGGCTTCCTTACAGCTGGATCCCAAGAGAAAGAGCCAGGCAAGTGAGGTCAGGTCTTTGGTGACTAGCCTTGGAAGTCTTACATCATCACGTCTGCCGCATTCTACTGTTTGACACAATTTGAAGGGGAAAGCACGTAGACCTCCCCACTGCCACCCATGAGGAGAAACCTGTTGCAGTAGAAGGTGAGTCGGTGGGATGAACCATGTAATAACGTATTTATCTTCAGGAACTGCTGCCTCCCCTAAACTGCATCAGCCAGAAACAGTCATCTTCATGTCCCTCCTATCTTGTGTGCATATATTTTTGCATATGACATCACAAAGGAGAATGACTTAGTATCACTGAAATGTGTTGATCTTGGACAAGTGCCTTAGCCTCTCTGGACTTCTGTTCATTGCAGACAATGGATTGAATTAAATCAGGAATTCCTATCCCCTTTTCCTCTTTGGTACTAGAAGGAAAATTTCCAAATGGACCAAGTACTCTCACCCCAATTTAAAAAAATGACAACTCTTCCCAATTAGTTAAAAAAAATTCATACACAATAGTTTCAATCTTAATTATTCTTCAATTACATCATAGGTCAAACAGTATCTTCTAACAAATGGTTAAAAGGAACCAATAAATGAAAACATTGACATTACACTCCAGCACTTCCGGTTCAACATGTCTGAGGACACATGATTTCATGTTTCCTGATTTATGTTGTAACCCTATCACATGGTCATACTTTTGGCTAATGAACTCAATCCTAAATCCCATATAGATTGACTACTTTTCAATATGGCCCCCCCTTAAAAGTACTAGGATTCCAGAAGCTCCATCACATGAATAGTATAGCACTACTGGGGAAGATGATTTTTTATATCCATCTAGCCTAAAATTTTTGGTAGTTAGATTAATGTGGTTAAAGATTCTTTAATGGTATTGGAAGCATTCCTTATTTGCTTCAATTGAACATTCACTAAAATCTGGTCTTCATTTACTATGACCATGCTAAAGACTTTCAATCAATATTCTCCAGATCCATAGAGCAAAATCCCTCTGCATATCTACACCAGAGGACACATCAACATCAACCTGGATGATACTAAAATAGGATTTTTTTCTCCCCCTAAATTATATCTCTGCTATGTCTTGGTGACTTCCCCATTATGTGCTCACTGGCTACAGTCAGGCACCCTCTCAGAGTCCTTCACATTATTCTGTGTATCATCAGTTCTGGCAACCACAGGTTCAGTGACTTAAACAATGGGAATTTCAGTTCAGGAGGTCAAAAGTCTAAGATCAAGGTGTCGTCAGGGCTGATGCTTTTTCAGGGCTGACGGGGAATCTGTTCCATGGCTTTCCACATTTCTGGTGGTTTACTGGCCATTTTTGACATTCCTTGCCTTATACATGCGTCACCCTGCTTCCTGCCGCTGTCTCTACCTGGCTTCCCTCTGTGACAGAGTCTGTCTGTGTCCAAATGTCCCTCTTTTATAAAGATACCAATCAGGCTGAACTAGGGCCCAGCCTAGTGTCACTTTGATGGGGTCACCTCTGTAAAGACCCTGTTTTCAAATAAAATAACATTTCAAATAAGGTCCTGGGGGTTAGGACTGCAACATATTTGTTTTTAAGAGAACACAATTCACCTGCAACATTCACTGTCAAATCTTGTCAGTCCTGCCTCTTGACTGTGACACGCATGTACTTCTTTCTCTCCATTATCACTGCTCTTCTGCACACGCCTCAAATCATCTTTCTCCTAGGTGACTGCTCTGGCCTCCTGATTTCCCATGTGTATTTAGTTCTATGCAGTAGAAATGGTTCTGAGAAGTATTGCCTGGTGGATTGTGTCACTTGTCCACGTTTCTCCCTTGCACACATCCTTGACACGGACACTCACCTCCCTGGGAGGAAAACACTGTCCTTCCCTAAGGATGTGAGACTAAGTCTTGTGCTTGTTCTGGCCAATGAAATGTTGGTGAATGTGACATCTGTAGGCCATGTAGTTTGGTTTGACCTCTTGCAATTCTGCCCTCTACACTTACAAGAACTTGTCCCTGGTGAGTGTTGCTTCAAGAATAAGGAGCCTTGTGGAACAGAGATGAGTTCGATTCTAGTCAAGCTCAATGAAGCCCTACACACCATCTGCAGGCCCGCAGGCAAGAACAATAAATATTTCTTCTTATAGAGCTTCTGAGCCTTGACAGTTTAATGTACAATTGCTATATTACAGTGGCGTGTTTGCTATTCACTGGAGAGTAAGTTCCTTGAGGGTAAGTTCCTTGCGGTAGCCCCTCACCTGCGTCCTGGCCCCCTCCGTATCGCTCTGTGGTCCCATAGCCCATGTTACTCTCTAGTCCTGGTATCCCATGTGTACCAGTGCTTGGACATATTAAACTGTTGACTCAAAATTGCTCAGCATATGATGTGGGAAGAAAAATAACAATTGCTAAGTATTTGGCTGAGTCTACAAGGAATGGCCAGCCCCAAAGGACTACTATTTACAGGGTGTGGCACTGACTTGGTGGAGGAGGGAATCTGAGGATTAAATCACTTGTTTTGCCACCCCTCTCATCTAGTGACGTAAGGGGAACAGTCTTTGAAAGAAAGGCGGAGAGGAACCTTTGCCCGAAGCCCGCTGCCCGCTGCCCGCTGCCCGCTGTCCTTCCTCTCTTCCGTTCCTTCCGCCAAGCCCAGTTTCTCTGCTTTGGGGCCAGATCTCCCTTGGGAACCTGCACTTTGACCTTAACTGATTACTTCTCCTTTGGGCCCTTTGCTAGTGAATTTGCAGCTGTTCAACCTTACAGTTCAAAACTTGCTTTGTCTGCTGCTTATGAGCCCAGCGCTAGGATGCAAATAGAAATAAAACTCAATTCTTACTCTTGAGATGCTTCCACTTAAGGGAGAGGGTTAAGAGAGGAGATGGTTGGAAATCTAGTCGTTCTTGTGTTTATTCACTTTACAAATATTTATCAAGCACCTACAAGTATAACAATCAGCGGACAGAGGAGGCACTTGGCTCCACAGCCCACCAGGCTCAATGTGAGTTAACTATGCCAACAAATAAATGTAAATAATGGCACAGGCCTAAGAATGGAAGACAACAGACAATGAGACAGAGGACGGCCGCCAGGGATGACCGCCAGAGAGTGGTGGGTTCTGATAACAAGAAGGTGCCGCCATGCAGACAACAGGAAGAGCATTTTAGGAGGAGAACAAAGTAAGGGGGAAGGTTTCAGAGGAGGAAATGTGCCTCAGAGGTTTGACACCAGAAGTTCTGTGGGGTGGGGTCTGACAGGGGCAGAGCGGTTGAGGTAGACAGCAGGCGCTAGGAATAGGGTTCTAGAAACCCTCTTTCTTCTAAATGCAAAAGGAAATTATTAGCAGATTACAGGCCGGGTAGTAGCAGTCTGATTTGTATTTAAGGAATTGAGCTTGCCATGATGTAGACTTGGTGAGGAATTGAGCTTGCCATGATGTAGACTTGGTGAATAAGACAGTAGAAGGTAAAAGGCTGTGGGGGCACAGGGGAGGGCCATGCAGCAGAGCGTGGACGTCAGGAAGGTGTTCCAGAGAAGGGGCGTTAGTTATCTACGGGTGTGTGACACATGGCTTCCAGACTTAGTGACTTAAACCATTAATAAACTTCTAGCACCTCACTTGGCTTCGGGTGGGGGAGAACTTGGGGGCAACTTTGCCAGTCCAGCTTGGGGCCCCTCATCAAATGCAGGAAGGATGCTCTCAGGACCTCATTATCAGAAAGATTCTAGGGATGGAAAACCAACCACGAGATGACACACTTGCATGAAGGGCCAGGTGGTGTGGTGTGTTGGTGGGAGGTCTCAGGTTTCCTGCCACGTGAACCTCTCTAGGCCTCTTCAGTGTCCTTCCCACATCGCAACCATGTTCTCCCACATGCTCTGAGAGAACAAGGGTGGAAACCACATCCTTGATCATTTAGCTCCAAAAGACAGACTGCCACTTTGGAAGCACTAATTACACAGGTCAGACCTACTCAACACGGGAGGGAACTACACAGAGCCATGGAAATCACGAGGGTACGTACATAGGGCAGTACCTTGGAGCTGTCTAATGTAAAACTAACACCTAATCTGAATCTTAATGAGTAAAATTGGCCAGATGATGAAGTTGATGTTATGAGCTGAACTATATCCTCTTAAAATTCATTTGTATAGTCTTAAACCCCCAAACCTCAGAATATGACTATATTTGGAGATAGGGTATTTAAAGAGGTGACTGATAAGGTTATTAGGGTGGGCCCTAATCTGACGGTGTCCTTGGAAGGAGATTAGAACACAGGCATGCACAGAGGAACAGCCATGTGAGGTCACGGGGAGGCCTTCTGCAAGCCAAGGAGAAAAGTTTCAGAAGACACCAACCCTTCTGACAGTCTTTGACTTCTAATTGCTGGGACTATGAGAAAAGTAATTCTCATTGTTTAAACTGTCCGGTCTGTGATATTTTGTTAGGGCAGTCTGAGCAGATTAACGCAATTGGGAAAGGTGTCCCAAGGCAAAGGGAATAGCCTCAGCTAAGATAGAGGTGTGAGACAGAGCAGTTATAGGAGACATTTCTAGATGCCGAAGAGGAGGGATTAGCAGACTTTTTCTGTAAAAGCTGGATAGTAAATATTTTAGGTGTTTGAGCTGTAAAGACTGTAGTATGAAAGTAATTATAGATAATTGAAAAAATTAATGCAATTGTGTTCCAATAAAATTTCATTTATAAAAATAGCAACCCAGATTGGCCCACAGGCTGTAGTTTGCCAACCCCTGCTGAGCAGGAGGGTGGGGAGGAGTGGGAGGAGGGCTTGGCTGGTGGTGAGAATATCCAAGGAGGAAAACCCAGGCCTTACCCCAGGTCCTCCCTTCAATGGTGATATTTGCCTCTTCAGCATTGAGAGAGGGGTGGGGGGAGGGAAGTAGTATATCTGAATGGGGAGTCTTGGGAGGGTTCCCGTGTGTGTGTGTGTGTGTATGTGGAAAGTCCTGAAAAGGATAGTATTCAGGGCCTTCCCTGGTGGCAAAGAGGGTTAAAGCACAGCACTGAGAAGCTAAAGCCACTTCAGCATGAGTTCGATCCCCGCCTGCCCCCGAGGTGACCACATGGCACGGCAGACCTCTCCTGACCTGCCTGCTGCTCCCCTCAGCAGTGTGCTTCCTTGATCTGCCTGTTCTGCTCCCCACTCTGTCTCTGGTGAATCCTCTCACTGCCCCTGCACCTCTGGCCTGTACCCCAGTTCTGTGTACATAACTAAAAAAAGCGAAAAGGGATAGCATTCAACCACTAGTCCTGGGCTCTGTTCTGCTCTTTACCTCTAGCTGCTTGATCTCTCTGAGACTGTAAAGGGTCACTTGCAGGATCCGGGTTCTGCTTCTTAATGTGCAAGGGCATGTGAGTCTCCAGGTCTAGATCATAGCAGTGTGGTAGAAAAGAACCCGTTATGAGGAGACTTCTCCAAGGTGGGGCAGGAGTACTGGTGCCCAAGTGAACTCTGAGGAGGACCCCAGGGAGGCCTGGGGTCAGAACCCTGGAGCTGACCAGACCCGCTTTGCATTGTTTTAAGCAGAAGAATGTCATGATCTGATTTGTCGCTTAAAACTGGCTGCTGGGTGGAGAGATGGAACCACCACACATGTCCCCTTCGAATAGTCTAGAAGTTCATATATTGGGACACTCTCCCTTCCTACAAACTTTGTTTAATTAGCCTGCCCCCTTCATTTCTTGGGCCTGGCCACTGGAGAACTAGAAACTGTGGACCAGACACTGGCCCGCCAGATCTGGAGACCAGCACGCGGCTACCAACCCACTGGGTAGCCACAGACCAAGCGGAGGACAACCCCGCCTCTCCGCAACCGGTCCCGCCCCTGCCTTGAGACCACGCCCCCGACGCAGAGGCCACGCCCCCTGGAGCCACTTTCCGGCCCTTTGGGTGGCTGGTGGCAGGAACCGAGTTCAGCCGGCGCCTCCTGCGAGCCCCGCCCCTCCAGGGCCCCGCCTACCAGAGGTCCCGCCCCGGCCGTTGGGCGGCCGGCAGGAGGCGCCGCGACGCTCGCGGGTCGGGGGCGCGAGCTCAGGCCAACCGCGGCTGTGTGAGCCGCGCGCGACGCGGTGGCGAAGGCGGCGGACTGTACTGGAGGTTAGCCTGGGGTGCACGAGGGCAGGCGGTGGGGGCCTCTCGGAGGTGGTCGGGGGTTCCGGGGTACAGAGGTCGGATAGGCTGGGATGGGGATGGGCGTCGGCGGGCGCGCGCTCGTGGGGGTGCGACCCGCATGGCGCTTATTCCCGGACAGCCAGGCTTGTTCGTTGCCATGGAAACTGGCTGCTCTGGGGCTCCGGCGCAGTCCCTGGGAGGGGGTGTGGGACCCAAATATTGGCTAGAGCAGCCGAGGGCAGGAGACTGCAGGATTCCAGAGGACTGCGTGCTCCCATCCCAGGCCACCCCTGAAGCCTGGTCCCCATCCCGGATCATCCCCGGCCCTCAGTCTCCCCGGTAGTCCCCTTAGCGGGAGGGGATACTCCCGCGTCCGCACCCTCCCTCCAGGGTCTACTTGCCATCCCCCACCCTCAACCCATGCTGGTTTTCCGTTCACACAGCAGCACACTCCTGTGCCAGCAGAAAGCATTGTCCCCAGCTATTTCTGTGCCATCACCAGCCCCTCCACTAATTCTGCATCTAAGAAAACAGATGCTGAGCTCGAGCTCCTTGGCGCCCTGCAGAAGAAACCCATTTATTTCCTGTCAGAGACAGGGCTGGCGGGGTGGTGGAGTGGCAGACCCACCCACTTGCTAGCTCCCAGCACCCTATCAAGTGTTTGGTTAATCTGAATTGCCAAGAAGAATTTTCCAAGTCACCATGATTACAGGTGTCTCCAGATAGCCTGGCCACTCATGCATTCCAGAGGGGAGCCAGTGCTCACACCCACTGGTGGAAGTCAGTTCCCTCTCAAGAGGCAGGCTCGCGTGTCAAAATTAAATCTGATTAAATTATTTTTGCATTTAAAAGCGCCGCCCAGGCTGGAGCTGTCAGAGAGGATTTACAGACCGCGGGGATAAAACAGCCGTCTCCCCTCTCCCTTACTGTCCTGGTGGAAACTCTAATGGATTCCACATTGCAGGGCTGGACGGGCTACTTCCCTCCACCCGTTCAGTCAGCCCGGCACTGACCTCGCTCACTGTACTCGCTGGTGTGACGTGGGTTTGTTTTCATCAGAAATCGGGCTTTTCCTTGAGAACAAGAGAAAAACATTCTCCAAGGGAAGCAGCAGTAAGAGCCCCACAGCCTGGCGCTGAGTGTGTGTGTGAAAGAGGAGTGAATTGAGCAGAAAAGGAAAAGACAGGTCATGCTTCCAAAAAGCAGATCTGGTTACCCAGGGCGTCTCCACTCAGTGGGATTTTCCTGCTCTCCTGCCCTTTTAAAAAATGAGCCATTACATTTGGACAAAAGGTTGTGCTCTGCATTCTGATTCTGAGGGGGGGGGGTAAAGGGGGGTGGGGGAACAAGTCGCCAGTAGGTACTTGCTGAAAATGGCCACAGAGAGAATGACTCGGAGGAGAAAAACCTTCCTGAGAAAAGAGGTCAAGTAGATCAGGGTCTGTGTTTACTGGGTTTTCTTGGGGCCTAAAAGGGAGCCCCATTTCTCATTCTGTTCATAATATCAACAACTTTGCCTTGGAAGCCAGCACAGACACTGATGCAAAGGGTGGGGTCCTTCTTCCAAGGCCCTGGGAGGGGACCTAGCTGCTGTGTATTTGTCATCTGTTTCTGTTTTATTAAAACAACTGTATAAGCTCCAGGGCTCACTGAACCTGGAGCCACCGGGGCACAAAATACCACTTCTCCATTGCCCCTTGGCCTGTTAACGCCTGGGTTTATTCATGAATTTTCTGTGACATGGGCTTTTTCTGGTTAGACATGTTTCCATAGTTTTTGGCATCGTGCTTAGATTACACTAAGACAGCATCTCTAAAGGCAAAGGCTTACAAGCCACAAGCTGCTGGGTGGCAGACGCCACTTTGGGCCACTCTGGGTTTGGGTCTGGACCCTGGGGAACCTATCAGAGATGCAGACTATGCTTGTAGGCAGCCAGCCAGGTAAGTGAAGTGTTTGTGGAAGGTCAGGGCCTCTGAGAATGTGTGGCGGGCCTGAGAGACAAGTGTTGGAAAACTCACTGGCAGGGTCGTGTGACTTGCAGAAACTTAGGGTTGGATTTGGCAGGGTTTTAAAGCCGCAGGCTGGTGTGGTGTGCAAGCGCAAAGCCATGTGCTTGTTGGGTGTGCACCATCTGAAATACTTTTTTTTTTTTTTTTTTTAAAGATTTATTTATTTGTGCATACAGAACTGGGGTACAGGCCAGAGGCTCAGGGGCGGTGAGAGGCTTCACCAGAGACAGAGTGGGGAGCAGAACAGGCAGATCGACGAAGTACACTGCTGAGGGGAGCAGCGGGCGGGTCAGGAGAGGTCTGGCTCGCCATGTGGTCTCCTCCGGGGCAGGCGGCAGGCGGGAATCGAACTCATGCGGAAGTGGCTTCAGATTCTCAGTGCTGTGCTTTAACCCGCTGCGCCACCAGGGAGGGCCCTGAAATACTTTTGTTGTAAATTAAGTAAATCAAGTTTGAGGCCATTGGCCGCCCTGAGGGAATACCATGGCCCGCTCTGGACACCGTGGGATTTGACTAGATAGAGCCCAGCACATTCCACAGGGAAGGAGGAACCCAGCATTTGACTCATTTACTCCCCTATAGCTTGACACACTGAGGCTAAAGATAACGGCCTGTGCTCATTCTGCTGAGGACACTTGACTGCTTCAGTAAGTTCAGGTTTTCAGAAAGGCAGCACGTAATAAAAGATTTGCAGCAGTAAGCGGTAAGCTATAGGAACATAAATATCCTCCACCCATCCCCACAGCATTAGTGTTTGGAGCCCAGCCTGGCTGGTGGGGCTTTGAGAGCATTTTAAAGAGTCCAGGGTCCTCCAGTGATGCCTGGTGGCTGAAAAACTGGAGACTGGTTCTAGAGGACTGGGGGGCGGGGGGGTCTGCTTTTCAAACTTGGTTTACGACAGCCTTGCCTTGCCGGGAGTGAGAGACCAGAGAATATGCGGAAGCCTAGGAGGACAGCGGGACAGGAACCCAGTCCCCAGGGTCCGGGGTTCACAGTTTAGTCCCTCAGAACCTGCTGGAGTTCTTGCTGGGGCGGGGAGGTTTCCCATTTACTTTCTCCTGCCCTAAGCAGTCATCTGAAGTTCTAAAAAGCCTTTTCCACACCAAGGAGCCATGAGAGTGAGTCAGGACTAATGACATTGGTCACAGTGGCAGGTTCCAGTGGCTGTTTTCACTGGGGCCAGGCCACTGTTTCCAGAGCCTTCTAGAGCATACAGTTTTCTTCTTTGTCTGCTTTTGGCTTTGGTGGGGACACAAGCATAGAAACGGGGTGCAGCAGTCAGGAGGTGTGGGCCATGTTTGTGTCCCCTGACTGGCCGCAAAGCCAGTCTTATGATGCGGGGACTGTCCTCTCTGTAGCATGCCCTCTGGCCTCTACTGAGCTTTAGTGGGTCGGAGCAACGCTCTCTTTAGGCCCTGGGAGCACTAACTGTATTAGAGTCAGGACTGCGTGACGCACTAAGGCTTCCCAGGGCCGTCTTCTAGTTTCTCCAGCAAGACTGAGTCTCTGGCCCAGACAGGCCAGAACTCCGGGCTGGATGCGGTGGGTGGAACGCACACATTCCAGCCATTCCTGCACTGTTCTGGAAGAGCCCTTTTGTGTCCACTGTGGCTGTGTGACATTCTCGTGCTGCCGTTCTGGGGCAGCTGCTCCTCCAAGCCAGGGCTGGCCATGGAAGACCAGTGCTTGGGGGTTTGTGTTTTGAAATTCTGATCTCTTATCACTCTGGGACTATGGCTGCGACTATTTCGCTTGTTCTGTGTGAGTTTTTCATACAGCCTGTGCAGTAAGAGAAGCTGCTACGGAGATAGGCATTTATAGTCCGTCGTTCGTGACTTTTCTTTGGGGGCCATAGTGACAGACGAGATGGGCCGCGCTGTGGGCACAGTGGGTGCCCCGGCCCCATGTTGCTTCTTGGCTGCCTATCACGAGGTTGTTGCACCCAGCACTTTGCAGAAGTCAGAACCCTGCAGTAGAACATGTCTGACCTTCCGGTGACCTCCTCCTGCTGCCGAGAAGCTGTGTTCCTTGAAGGGCACTTCAGCCCACTGACACCCCTGACACCTTGTCCCTTGTGGCCCCACAGGCTTCAGCCACACCCTCACTCAGGTGCCCTGTGGGAAGTTGGCAGAGGGTGGCATGCTTGCTGCTTCTGCTGGGACGCAGGCACTGGATGGTTTCCCAAGTCCACTAAAGCGCACCCAAGACCCACTTGCTGTTGCTGACCCACCTTACGTTTTCCTCGCAGGGCACAGTTTTCCCCTCGGTTGGCTGGAGCCCTAAGACCTGGCCCACGGAGACTGGCCCACCATGTTCTATGGGACCCACTTCATCATGTCTCCACCCACCAAGAGCAAGCTTAAGCGGCAGAGCCAGCTGCTGTCCAGCGTGCTGTCCCGGACACTGAGTTACAAGTATCGTGACCTTGATGCCACCTTCTGCAGCCTGGGAGCCAGTGACGACCCTGCAGAGCTGTCTACCCAGCTCTCAGCTCCCGGGGTCCTGAAGGTGTTTGGGGACAGCGTCTGCTCAGGCACCCACTACAAGAGTGTCCTGGCCACTGGCATGTCCAGTGCCCAGGAGTTGGTCAAAGAGGCCCTGGAACGTTACTCCTTGAGCCCTGACTGTGCCAGCCAGTACGTGTTGTGTGATGTTGTGGGCCAGGCTGGTGACTCGGGGCGCCAGTGGCGGGCTGAGTGCTTCCGGGTCTTTGGGGATAATGAGAAGCCCCTCTTGATCCAGGAACTGTGGAAACCTCGAGAAGGCTTATCCCGGAGGTTTGAGCTGAGAAAGAGGTCAGACGTGGAAGAGCTGGCAGCCAAGGATGTGGACACCATGACAGCAGGTAAGGAGCAGAGACTCAGAAACAGGGGAAGGTAGGAAGCTATGTCCAAGGACGACCAGCGCGTCAGGTGTTTGAACACCCCCTCTGACACTCGCCCCTTTAACCACGCGCTCTTGGGGATTGCAGTTTGTCGATAGCAGAGAACTTGGCTCCTGATGTGGCCTGGCGGTATTATAGGGCAGATTCCTCCTTTGATTTAGAGGCTGTTGTCCAGGTCTCTTGCAGTCGTGTTGTTAGCTGTGGAGAACCACGCACACCTTGTCTCCCACGGGTGGCAGAAGCATTAGAGAAAGCCCCTTAGTGCCAGGGGCACTGGGTGAACCTTGAAAATAGGAAGGAAGCCAGGTCTGAGAGGTGACAGGGTCCATCTGGGTGGGTGTGCATGGTCCTGTGGCTTCCCGGGGAGTGGGAAGTGTGCTGGAGGGAGGCCAGCCTGGGGCAGTTGGTTACTGGTCATCTGAGGTATCCCAGTTGCTGAGCTCAGGTGTCCTGTGGCCTAGAGCCATTGACCTGTGTTTAGCTGTTATCCTTGTCCAATTGGAAGTTGGTTATCTCAATAGGTACATGCCATAAAAATAATTTTTAAATGCCAAAAGATACTTCGCTATAGCTCATATTATGTCTGACTTTTCTTTGTTTCCATAGAAAATGGTGGTGTCCATGCTACAGTAGACTTGTCTTAAGTAGTTCAGAGTGGAGGGACATTTAATGGCCTCCTGAGACGTGTCTCTGGGTTTTAGGGCCCTGAGCCCTGGGTGATGCCTTTGTGTGTCCCAGGGAGTGACAGTGCTCCTTGTCTGCTTCTGTTTCCAGTGTGGAGTCTGCCATGCACCTTTGCTTTGTGAAATGGGCAGTTGGAGTCCCAGCAGCTAGAGTCACTTGGGCTTGACCAGGGACCACTGTGGCAGGCCAGGGTGTCACGCAGCTCTGGGGGCGTCTCGGGCTCTGGAGCACCTTGGAGGCCCCAGGCAGCAGTGCTCCTCAGCTTCCTTGGGTTGCTGTGTGCTTGCAGGCACCATGCGCTATGGGCGAGGAGAAGAGTTTATCACTGACATTCAGAGTTGTTGACTTGTGATGGAATGAAAAACAGGCAGCTTGTAACTGATTTTGTTTTCAGTCTCCTCGTATCAGCATGTCAGGTGCCTCCCTGGACCCCTCCCCAACCCCACAGGCCTGGTCTCAGTGGGGGGGTTTCTGTCCTGACCCTGCCTTGACTGGCCTCTGCCCCTCTTCCAAGTAAAAGACCTGCCGGGGCACGCTGTGGTATGGGCAAGGGCACCGTACCAGGTCAGCGCTCGGCCAGGCCCTGCCTGGTGTTTCCTCTGCGAGCCCAGCTCTGCTGCCCAAGGGCACAGTGCCCTGGCCTCAGAAGCCCTCTGTGCCCACAGGTGACTGCCGGGAGGACTTGGAGCCTGACATCTTCACACTGGCTCCCCAGCCCCTTCCCCAGTTTGCTTTTCTAGCAGTTGCAACAGGGCTCACAGGCTGGTCAGAACCTTCTAAAGAAAGCGTCCATTGAACCGGCCCACTCACTGACACACTTCTCCAGGCCAAAAGCAGGTTGTGTTACCTGCCGTGCAGGCCTCACAGACCCCAGGGAGTCATCCTTCCCCAGAGCCGGCCGTGCTGGGGCACGCCTGGCCGGTGGCAGTGAGGCCTGAGCAGGCCAAGGTGGCCTAGCTTGAGGCTGCCATGGAGCCCCTCAGGGCTGCTGAGGGCCTGGGGACACCCCCAGGGGAAGGCCTTCCTCCACAGCGGGCCTGGCAGGTGGGGCTCAGCCTGAAAGTCCAGCACCTTCTGAGTTAGTTTCCTCAGCTTCTGATGCCACAGGGATACAGGGACGTGAAAATGTTCCCTGCGTGCGAGTCCACACACACAGAATTACTCCCTGGCGAAGAATCTGGTGTGGTCTTTGAAGGTGCGACAGTGGAGGGTGGCTGCAGGGCTGGTGAGGCCGGTGGGGCCTAAGGGGCCTGTTCAGTCCTATGTCCCGTGGCAGCTGTTAGTTTGGTGACCAAAGAGAAGGGGGACTTCTCCAGTATTCCAGCACCTGGCTGGCCCTCTGCCCGACAGGCCCGGGGAAGGGAGTGTCCTACTTGCTGGGCGCTGGCTGTGAGCGCCCCGGTGCTGTTGGGGCACAGTGCCTGCCTGACCCTGCAGAGCAGGACCTGTGCATTGCTGTGAGGCTGAGCTGTGGCCTTAGCTGTGGCGACATCTGCGCCCACAGAGGAGCCTGTGGTGTTGGAAAGGGGGGTAGGTTTACTGGGAGCGGGGACCCAGTCCCCTTAACCCCTTCATTCTTTCCCTGGAGACACATGGGGCACCTTGCTCATCCAGTGAGCCTATAGCTTACCTCATGTGCCAAAGGTGGTGGGAAAGGGAAGGGCAGGTGCTCGTGTGTGTGCGCCTGGGCGCGTGTGCAGATCTGTGCACGCGTGAGTTTGTGTGCACGTGACCGACACCCTCCCGGACGCCAGGCCACCACCAGGCACTGACTCGATCAGGGTGACCCCAGGGCTCCTCTCGCAGTCAGGGCCCCCTGGTGTTGGTGGGCTGGGCTCCTGGCTGCACTGGGCTCAGAGGAGCCCCGCACCTACCTCCCCGCTCTCTACAACTGGGACATGTCTGGGGACAATGTTTGTGGGGGAGGGTGGGAGTGGTGTGTGAGTGTTTGTGTGGGGGCTGCTCACCACAAGCTGTGTTCCTGCAGGTTAACTGGGGTCCAGCAGAGTCCAGGCTGACTGTCTGCCAGACACTTCCAGGTGCTGAAATGAGAGTCCTGCTCGCTTTAACCATCTGGCCAGTGTCATGCACCCTGTAATGCCCTCTGGGGTTTCCCCATAAATATCGCCTTTACGTAGCTGCCAGTTTCCTTCTGATGTCCAGAGCATGAAAACACCGCGTGCATCCGTCTGGGGGAGGCAGGGCGCTCTCTGCCTTTCCCAGAAGGCGGATCTTTTAGAGTTTAGGGCCGTGCCACAGGGAGAGGGCTCTGGGTCGGGTCTGAGATAAAGACAATAATCACTTGCATTCACTCAGGGGAGGGGAGGGCAGCCATGTGGTTTTCGTCAGTGGTTTGGGAGGCTGAGAGAGAAGGGTTTGTTTGCTTTCCCGGAGGAGCTGGCCTTGCCGCCTAGGCCAGGGAGGTTTTCCTCTCCCTCCCTCTCTCCTCCCCTCCCTTCCTCCCGGCCTCTCCTTCCTTCTTTCCTCCACCTCTTCTCTCTCCCTCCCTCCCCTCCTTCCTTTCTCCTCTTCCTTCCCTTCTCTTCTCTCCCTTCTTTCTTTCCTCCCTTCCCTTTCCTCTCTCCTCCCCCTTTCTCCCCTGCTCCCCTCCCCCCAAAGTGTAATTTAGACTGGATTTCTCAACCTTTGTCCCACTGGCATTTGGGCCAGATAGTTCTTTGCTGAGGAGCTTCCCTGTGCCCTGCAGGCTGTTCAGAAGTGTCCCTGTCCTCTACCAACTAGGTGCCAGTAGAACCCTACTGGTTGTAGCAACCAAAAATGCCTGGCGCTGCCAAGTGTCCCATGGTGCAAGCCTGCTCTCAGTGGCAACCTGGCCGCCTGCACTCAAGTGGACGGACCGTTTGTTGGCCACACCGGGGGACTCGGTGGCCCTGTGCCTGCCTGTGACCATCAGGCCAGCCAGCCTCTCCTAGGCTACTCTGGGGGGCATGGGGTGTCTTGGCAGCTCACTGCTTTCAGAGGGTGGCTTGAGGCGCTGGCTGTGCCTTTCAGCTCCTTTCTCTGTGCCTCTTGACCCCCAGAGGTTTGAGCTGTTTCGCTCCTCCTCCTTTGCTTTGGGGCCTTTCTTGGTAGAGGCAGTTCTGAGTATATCTAAAGCCACTATGACTTGAGCGTATCACTGTACCCTGCACCCTCCAGGGACTGCTCTGTACCAGTGACTGGGCTATGACCATTTGTCCTTCAGATGTATGTCCGTCCACAACGCAGTAGGTGCGGGTTAAGTGCCTTTTGAAGGGCTGGTGCGGACCTGAAGAGCAGGCTGTCCCCTACGTCACAGCTTCAGTCGCCTTAGAGTTGGGGTCTGCTTTCTTCTAGAGGGTCAGGGATAGGTGGGCGGGTGGTGGTGTGTGGACAGTGCGCTTGTCCACTGGTGAACTCTTAAAATTTTTGCTTAGAAGAACTGGGGTGCAGCCGGACGTGGGAGGGTGAGAGGATTCACCAGACACAGAGTGGGAGAGGGACAGGCAGACTGGCGAAGCACACTGCTGAGGGAGCAGCAGACGGGTCAGGAGAGGTCTGCTGCTGCGCCCCGTGGGTCAGCTCCCTGGCCAGGGATCGAACTCAGGCCATCGCAGTGGTAGTGCCGAGACGTGACCCCTGGGCCACCAGGGAGGCCACACGTGTGCCCTTTGTGGCTGAGACAGATGCCTGCTTTGGCATCAGCTGGCACAGCCTGCCAGCCTCGCTGCCCCTCCAGTTCCAGTCAGAATGGCCAGAGGGGCAGGTGAGCTGTCTGTGAGGGCCACTTCTGGGCATGTCTTCGTCACCCACCTTGTTGCCCCAAGTCTACCCCTGGTAATGGACAGGGATGTTCAGGCTCCAGGAAATATCTGCTGTCCTCATACTAAATATGTTCCATGAATTGTTTTCACACAGCCCCTCCCTGACTTCTGAAGTTATTTTCCTTTGAATTTTTTTTTCTTCTACCATGAATCTGATTTTTAATAACTCTTATCTCAGGACGATGGAGGCTATCTGGATTTTTTCCTCCTTGAGTGAGACTTCCTTTTGAGTGTATTTTCAAAGATAGGGTTCATCGTGGTGTTTATTTTATGTGGTTTGGCAAAAAGCAAAACAACCTTAAATTTTTTTCACCAGTCTAAAACTAGAAAAGTATTTAAAAAAAATTGAAAACACTTTAGGGAGGTTTAACTCCAAGAGAATATAAAGTTGAATGATTGGTTGCCCATAATTCAGTTCACTGCTAAGATTAAAAAAAAAAATCACATCCTCCAGTTTCACACGGATGCTTAGAA